CCAACCCGGCAATAAACATAGAAACATTCCAAAACTATGATAAGCTCCCCCACTTTCCAAAACCCTGAAACATCCTTAGTCTGTAAGAGAGAAGGGCTCTCTGACCTAAGTCAGCCAGAATCCCCTCTCGGTTTTGTTTTCTCTAAGATAAACCTGTCCTTAACTGTCAAGCCACACTTAGTATTTCTTTCTTCTTTTTTTAATTCTTACAGTGTTGAGTCTTCCTCTGGGTGGGGACACAGGATGGGTTGAGTCATGAGTCCAGGTGGAGTTAGCCAGGAGGTGGAGGTTGCAGGGAGCCGAGATCGCATCATTGCACTCCAGCCTGGACAACAGAGTAAGACTCCGTCTCAAATAAATAAATAAACAAAGGATAAATGATGGAGTCCACTTCTCAGCCTTGTGGCTAAGATCAAGTATAATAAACAATGGAGCCATAGTTGGAAGCCAGTCTCTCTCCTTCCAGAGCCTCATCAGAAATATAAGTCTGAAATGACATCTCAAAAAGCCAATCTTAGGTTCTGTGATAGTGATGTTACTTACAGGAGTAACTGGGGAAGTTGTAGATCTTCTGACCTCTGGAACAATGGCTGGTCATCATTTACCTATGCCCACATCTTAGAAGAATTCAGGCCCCTCTCATAATCCTAACTTTGTGGGCCTTCATTAGTTTTATAAAGGTGGTTTCGTTTTGAGAAGGGCTATGATAATTCTGAAGATTAAACTCTAAACTAAATTTATCCCAAAGTTAGCTTGGCCCAGTTCAGGAATGACCAAGGACAGCCTGGAGTTTAGAAGCCAGACAGAATCAACGATGTCAGAATCTCTCACTGTCATAATTTTTGCAAAGGCAGTTTTGAAAGCATTGGATCTCATTTAAGCCTCAATATCACCCCATTTTAGACGAACCTGTGGCTGAATGAGGTCAACATTTTCTCAGAGTAATACAAGGATAAATGATGTACTGGGTGCGGTGGCTCATGCCCGTAATCCTAGCACTTTGGGAGGCCGAGGCAGGTGGATCACCTGAGGTCAGGAGTTTAAGACCAACCTGGCCAACATAGCAAAACCCCATCTTTACTAAAAATACAAAAAGTAACTGAATGAGGTGGCACGTGCCTGTAGTCTCAGCTACATGGAAGGCTAGGGCAGGAGAATAGCTTGAACTCAGGAGGTGGAGGTTGCAGTGAGCCAAGATCACACCATTGCACTCCAGCCTGGGCAACAGAGTAAGACTCTGTCTCAAAAATAAATAAATAAATAAAGGATAAACGATGGAGTCCACTTCTCAGCCTTGTGGCTAAGATCAAGTATAATAAACAATGGAGCCATAGTTGGAAGCCAGTGTCTCTCCTTCCAGAGCCTCATCATCCAGAAACCTGGTCTTCAGGACCCACCTGCTTCTCCTTTCCTTGGAAAATCAAAGCCATCCCCTCAGCTTGTCTACTGTAAGATGACTTGATAAAGACAGAGTGCCTTCATCAATATCACTTCACTATACCCAGGAGATTCTTGCCCTGCAATACAAATGCTGCAAATAACTTTATGGTTCACTTCAGGAACTTCCTGGAAAGATTAATCAGCTCTTCAGTAGAAAGCATCCGATGACAGGTTAGACTCAAAACTTATTCAACTCGCCATCAGCAAATCCTCATCTTGCTGTGCTCATATATCTGAAAGGATTATATTATGACTTGCTAATCCCAAAGATGCCGAAAGACTCATCTGAAACTGTGTTTTCATTTCAAAAATATGGGTGTGGCGTGGTGGCTCACTCCTGTAATTCCAGCACTTTGGGAGGGCAAGGCAGGCAGATCACAAGGTCAGGAGTTCGAGACTAGCCTGGCCAACATGGTGAAACCCTGCTTCTACTAAAAATACAAAAATTAACCAGGTGTCGTGGCATGTGCTTGTAATCCCAGCTACTAGGGAGGCTGAGGCAGGAGAATTGCTTGAACACGGAAGGTGGAGGTTGCAGTGAGCTGAGATGGTGCCACTGCACTCCATAAGACTCTGTCTTGAAAAAAAAAAATAGAATAAATACCCAGTGTTTCTCTCTCCTACTCTGAGACTCTGCTAGTGAAACTGCCACTGCAAAATTATGACTGAGGCAGTGAAAGAGATCTGACCTAACCAACTCCATCTTCCTTCTGACCTCCAAGCTGTTCTTGTTTATTCCTGGGCATGGGCTGAACTAACCTGGGGAAGAACTTACAGTTTATAGTTTAGAGAAAGACGGTAACAGCCCTTTTCTCAAGGTAGACCTCCTTGTTAGTCAAAAGATTAGAAATTAAGATTTAGCAGTCATGCAGCTGGAGGCTGCTCCCCAGTTTGCTCCTAGGCATGGCATAACATCACTATTATAAAGCCTAAAGTCAGTGCCTGAGATTTTTGCAGATCCTGCACTTGATGAATCAGCTGGCACAACTCAGATCCATAAACTGGCTCATCTGATCTTGAGGTCCTCATCCAGGAACTGACTCAGCACAGGAGGACAGCTTCAGCTCCATGTGATTTCATCTGTGACCCAGCCAATCAGCACTCCTGACTCACTGGCCTCTCCCAACACACCAAGTTATCCTCAAAAACTCTGATCCCCTGGCTGGGCATGGTGGCTCATGGCTGTAATCCCAGCACTTTGGGAGGCTGAGGCAGGCAGATCACAAGGTCAAGACATTGAGACCATCCTGGCCAACATGGTGAAACTCGGTCTCTACTAAAAAAAAAATTACAAAAATTAGCTGGGAGTGGTGGCACATGCCTGTAGTCCTAGCTACTTGAGAGGCTGAGGTAGAAGAATCGCTTGAATCTGGGAGGCAGAGGTTGCAGTGAGTGGAGATCGCACCACTGCACTCCAGCCTGGTGATGGAGTGAGACTCTGTCTCAACAAACAAAACAAAAACAAAACTCTGACCCCTGAATGCTCGGGGAGACTGATTTTAGTATTAATAAAACTTTGGTCTCCTGCACAGCTGGCTCTGTGTGAATTACTCTCTCTCTATTGCAATTCCCCTGTCTTGGTAAGTCAGCTCTGTCTAGGCGGCCAGCAGGGTGAATGCACTGGGCAGTTACACTAGGGCCCTGCTGTAGGAGTGCCTTTCATTCCCCTAGGAAGCACCAGCTTTGCCTTGTCAACAGGCAGGGTGACTCCATGGACCTGTGACCCCTGCAGTTTCCAGGGTCCTGCCCACAGAAGGGCAACTTCATATCTGGCCTGGCACAGGGTAAGAGCTCAGGAAATGCCAGCTATTAGCTGGTGACAATGTCCTGACCCCACCACATCTGGCAAATCCTTTTCCTCGTGGAACCTGGATTCTGGACTCTCCTCCAGCAGCTGAGTAATTGTTTCTAGACCCATGTGCTTCCTTCAGAAAGTGGTCCACCTTTCCCCCAAAGCCTCCCCTGCTATAGCTTTTCCTATGAACAAGGCCGAAGCATCAGCTGCATGCTGGGCTAACCCTCGGATACAGCCTGGCTCTGTGCCAGGGGCTGGGCAGGCTCTGGGGGAAATGCCTGGTAGAGTGGTCCCTGGAACTTATGGTCTCTGCAGAGACGGTGACATCCCAAAGACCTGCCTAGAAGGCTATGGGAGCAGAAGGAGGTGATCCTGCAGGGTGTGGGCTGCATATGGGTAGAGGCAGGCCAGGTAAGAGGGAACAGTGTGGAACGGTATGGAACGTGGAGACTGGATTCTGAACGCATGCCACATTTGCTGGGGTTGGGAAGGTGAAGAGAACTCCAAGAAGAGGTGGGGGAAGAGGTGACAAAGGTCACTGAGGGGAGATGGATGGAAAGGGAAAGGTGCATGGCAGTTAATGAGTGCAGGGTCACAAGAGGCGGCCGAGAGGGGAATCTTTTTTTTTTTTTTTGAGATGGAGTCTCACTTTGTCACCCAGGCTGGAGTGCAGTAGTGGGATCTCGGCTCACTGCAACCTCTGCCCCCCAGGTTCAAGTGATTCTCCTGCCTCAGCCTCCTGAGTAGCTAGGATTATAGGCACCTGCCATTGCACCTGGCTAATTTTTGTAGTTTTAGTAGAGACAGGATTTCACCATCTTGGCTGAGCTGGTCTTGAACTCCTGACATCCTGATCTACCTGCCCCGGCCTCCCAAAGTGCTGGGCTTACAGGCGTGAGCCACCGCACCCGGCTGGGAGGGGATTCTTCCATTTTCTCCCATATAAGCAGGTAGCATCAAGTTTAGAGATATAAAGACAAAAGCAAGAGAGGATAGTGAACAAACCTCAGGGTTGTCGCCTGGAAGAAGCAGGACCAGGCACTGTAGTTTAGTATCACTAAAGTTCGTGTTTGTTTTACCTTAATAACCAAATTCAAGGTGCCACTTCTAGGAGCTATTCAATGCAGTTTTAACTGCACAAAGTCCAGAACGTGGAAGAAAGTTTAGGAGCTTCTGGCAGCAAAATTCCCAAGATGGAGTAGTTTAAAGAAATATATGACTGGAAGGTGGGGTTGCATGGCCCGTGCAGACCTGCAGGTCACAAAGCAAGGCAGTGGCTCCAATCATGGGTTTGGAAGGCTGTTCCCTTCCAAGAAGAGGCCCTGATGTCCCAGCAGTCCCGACCACCCAGAAGCCTGCAGACGCAGTTGCAGCGGGTCACCATGTGCCGTGATAGAATCACACATGAAGGGTGAGGGGTTGGCGGCTCTGCCCTGGAGCCTCTTATTCAAGTTCAGCACCAAGTCTTGGGTGCTTGGAACTTGGACCTGTTGACCCTCATTGTGGACCGAGCCCAGGAATCTGTATTCTAACACCCTCTCCCTATCTCTCCACCCCCATGATCTTTATTAGGCAAATCCAGGGGAAGCTGGCTATGCCAATGAGGTGGCTGCCTCTTTCACTACATTTGCCAAGAGAGAAGGGCAGAGCTGTCTTCTCCAGGTCTCGGCTTCACGGTAGGCGCTGGAGCTGCAGCAACACAGGCCAACGTGAGCCACCTGCCCAGCAACCCCTACCCGACCCCAACACATCAGCAGGCCGTCAGTTTACGGAGCACATAGGAGAAAAATAATTTATTTAATTTAAAACAGCAGGACTTCAGCTTCTGCCCGGTCAGGGCTTGCATTACAATTCTGCAGGTGCAAAAACTCACACTTTTGACTCGAAGTTTGTAAAAACAGCTTTTCTTGTTGTGGACACGTGAAGAATTCTGTTTATACCCTCGGCCTGGGCCAAATAATAATCTTTATTAAAAAACAAAACAGAACAAACAAACAAACAAACAAAACCGTCAAAAAGCATAAAAAGGCAGAAAGCAGCTGGTAAACCTGGTTAAAAGACCAAAGTTCAGAAAGTGCATGGGAGAGGGACGCCGAGCCGAGGACACTGTTCCGGCTGCAGTACCTGTTGTGGCTGAGGTTACACTTGGGTGACTCGGGGATGAGGCAGATGAACATTAACCACACTAACAGAGGAGAAAGGAGCCCGCTGGGCTGGGCGAAGCGTGCAGGAGCACGGCCCGCTTTGCTCCGATCAGAAGTAACAGCCCCTTGCCTGAGCCCAGGAGTTCGAGACCAGACTGGGCAACATAGCAAAATCTTTTCCCTACAAAAAATCAACATTTAGCTGTAGTCCCAGCTACTCAGGGGGCTGAGGTGGGAGGATCGCCTGAGCCGGGGAGGTTGAGGCTGCAATGAGCCATGATGGAGCCACCGCACTCCAGCCTGGGGGTAGCGCTCTAGAGAGCAAAACCCTGCCTCAAAAAAAAATCAATAAAAAAGTAGTAACAGAAGTAACAGCCCCTCCTGCACTTGTTTTGTTTTATGAGATGGAGTCTCCCTCTGTCACCCAGGGTGGAGTACAGTGGTGCAATCTCGGCTCATTTCAACTTCTGCATCCTAGGTTCAAATGATTCCCCTGCCTCAGCCTCCTGAGTAGCTGGGACTACAGGCACACGCCACCAAGTCTGGCCATGTTTTTGGTATTTTTAGTAGAAACAGGATTTCACCATGTTGGGCAGACTGGTCTCGAACTCCTGACCTCAGGTGATCCGCCCATCTTGGCCTCCCAAAGTGCTGGGATTACAGGTGTGAGCCACTGTACCTAGCCCCCTCCTGGACTTTTAGGATGTGACTTCCTTCCCATCCAGTCTTTCTGACTGAGTGCTATCCATCCAGCTAGGCTGACTTGGTAACTGGTTCAGCCCCAAGTCATGGGTGCTTGGAAGAAAGTTTATCTGGATCTGAGCAGGAGGGATCTAAGGAAGGTTCTTAAGAAGGAGGATCTTAAGGAGGAGGCTGTTTTCGAGTCAGTGGGCCAGAGGCCTAGGCTAAGGCACGCAGACAAGCCCCTGCCCTACCCACCTGGTCACCACCACTGATGGTGATCATTCGTCTGCGGCAAGAGGTGGGGAGCAGAGGAAGCTGAAATGGAGACACCCGATGTGTAACCTTTTGGAGGTTTTTACAAAAGCAGACAGAGTGGCCAGTGGCATCAAAGAAATGGAATGAGAACCTGAGCTCGGGCACTCAGAGCAGGTGTTTTCTGAGCCCTCAGCTCCCTCTACAGGCCCTTCCTGACCACGGCCAGCTGATCCGGAAGTCCACATCTCAGCCTGGACACATGGTCTTGGGTAGAGCAGGGAGGGCTCCGGGGAGGCCTCTGCTGAGCAGGGCTGATTCTGATATTAATCCTCTTGATCTAGTATTGTCTTTTCTCTTTTGTCTGTAAATCAGGTTCTCTTTTGCAGCAAGCAAATCCCTGAATTTCTGTTCCCTTCTAGAAGCTCAAGTGAGGGTCTTTACAGAGACACACAAAGAGATTTGCTGTCATGTCTTTAGGGAAATCCATGGATTCACTTACAGAGGCTATTTCTGCCAAGCAGCTTTCCCTGGAGCAGCCCAGAGCTCACTTTCAAGCCTAAGGGGGTGTTTGCATCTCATTGATTTCCATTAAGAAATCTGTTTTCTTGGATGGGCACAGTGGCTCATTCCTGCAATCCCAGCATTTAGGGAGGCTGAGGTGGGTGGATCGCCTAAGGTCAGGAGTTCGAGACCAGCCTGGCCAACATAGTGAAAACCAGTCTCTACTAAAAATACAAAAAAAATTAGCTGGGTGTGGTGGCGGGTGCCTGTAATCCCAGCTGCTTGGGATTGGGAGGCAGAAGAATCGCTTGAACCTGGGAAGTGGTGGTTGCAGTGAGTCGAGATCACACCATTACTCCAGCTTGGGCAACAGATTGAGACTCCATCTAAAAATAAATAAATAAATAAAAGAAATCCGTTTTGAAAAGGACACAAAAAATGAGCATTTTGGAGTCTGTTAAATGACTATTCCTTTCCTGATACAGATTTGGGTTTTGAGAGTAAAACGGATCGGCAGCACGGCGTGCCTTTGGTTTTGATCCAGAACCACTTTACGAGGCTCAGAAAATCACGCTTCGTGGAGTTCTGATGGATTCCAAGGGAAAGCACCTCTCAGGTAAAGCCCTGCTTCCTCTCGCCAAGTCCCTGAGGGAGGATTTCCACTTCCCACTCTTTGCTGATGGCTCCTGTGATTGAACAGAGAAACTGTTTTCTGAAACAAGAGAAAAATGTTTGTGGAAGAGCCACAGAATAAAAATAGAGATGCCGGGTGCTCACTTTAAATCCTTTTCTTTTAAATGTAAAATAATCACGCCATGATCCTGCTGCCACAAATACCAGAACAGCTGAATCCTTTTTTTTTTTGAGACAGGGTCCCGCTGCTGCCCAGGCTGGAATGCCAATGGTGCCATCACAGCTCACTGCAGCCTCAAGCTCCTGGGCTCAAGGGATTGTCCCACCTCAGCCTTCTGAGTACTGGGGACGACGGGCACACATCACCACACCAGCTCTGGGTGACAGAGTGAGGCTCCCTCTCAGAAAAAAAAAAAAAAAAAAAAGCTGAATCTTAAAACTTTCACCCTTAGGGAGGAATTGTATTTGTTTGTTTGAGAGAGTTTCACTCTTGTTGTCCAGGCTGGAGTGCAACGGTGTGGTCTCGGGCCACTGCAACCTTCGCCTCCCAGGTTCAAGCAATTCTCCTGCCTCAGCCTCCCAAGTAGCTGGACAGGTGCTCACCACCACACTTGGCTAATTTTTCTATTTTCAGTAGAGACAGGGTTTCACCAGGTTGCCCAAGCTGGTCTCAAACTCCCAACCTCAGGTGATCCTCCCACCGTGGCCTCCCAAAGTGCTGGGTTACAGGCGTGGCCACTGCGCCCAGCCAAGGAATCATACTTGGATTACTCATCTCTCCAGCCACTTTACCTACAAAAAACTAAACTAAGAAATAAATAAGCCAGGCCCCCTCACCCTCTTTGGTCTCCGCAAGAGCAGGAGGACTGTAAGAAAGGAGCTGGAGAGACAGTGGGATCTTTGGGGGTTCCCTGAGATGCCTCTACCTGTCCTTGTTCCATCCCTGGAATTGGAAGGAGAAATCTGTGTCTGAAGTGATTGAGAGGTGGGGGCAGGTGTGTGGATTCTGGTCTGTGCTTGAAACTCAAACCCAAGTGATAGCAAGGGTTAGCAGTCCAGAGGGAGGGGCCAGAAGCGGGGTGGGGGAGAACACTGCTGTCCCTGAGCAGCTGTGCTGGGCTGTGCTCACCATGTAACCTCAGGGGAACCTTCCACCTGGTGAAAGGCAACTGGTTCCTCTGGTAAGCAAACTCTCCAAGGACAGCCGGGCTCTCCAAAGAAGCCCAACACCCTGACAAGCCAGGAATCTGCTCCGTGATGTCTGGGTTGGGACACATCTCTGGGGGCCCCCTGACAGCTTATATAATCACACAAAGGATAGCTGCACAGGTGTGGGTCCCTCAAACTGTAAACAGTGCTGTGTGGTCCTCAGGACACGAGGTCCACCGGGTGGAGGCACCGTGGCCGCAATCGTGGACCACTGGTTTCCCTGAATCTCATCGTTGCTACCCTTATGCAGATGAACGGCCGCTCCAGTGCACCAGGACACTGGTACGCGTGGAACTTGCTGCCCGAGGATCTAAGAGGTAGAAGAAGCTGAGTTGGCGGCTGTGCTTCCAATGGAGCCAAGAGCATCAACAGAGGGTCTTCCAGTGCAGCGGACATGCCCTCCTGCCCCTGCCGCAGGGACTCACAGAAGCGCCTGTCCCCAGGAAGACAGCACCTATGCAGGGAACTAGGCAGGACAAAAGCTTAGGTGCTTGGAAGTTCCCCTAGGGTCCCTTGGGATTTCTGAGATTCTCGTGGCTTGGAGGGTGCAGGAGCCTTGGGAGTGCCGGCTGGGCTCTCAGCGGGAGGCTGAGAAGAGCAGCAGCAACAACAGACAGAGAAGAGCCGGGTTCGGACGGCGCGGGTGCAGAGGACGAACATGATGCAGTTGGCACCTCCCTGAAACGTGTTCCCGATACCCTGTTGGGAAGAAAAGGGAGCTGTGAGCATGGGTCTCAGAAACGCATGTGCTGTTCCAACTAAGAGAAACGGCTAGGCTGAGGGTGGTGGCTCATGCCTATAATCCCAGCACTTTGGGAGGCTGACGCGGATGGATCACTTAAGGTCAGGAGTTGAAGACCAGCCTGGCCAAAATGGTGACACCCTGTCTCTACTGAAAATACAAAAATTAGTGGGGTGTGGTGGTGGGTGCCTATAGTCCTGGCTACACGGTAGGCTGAGGCAGGAGAATTGCTTGAACCTGGGAGGCAGAAGTTGCAGTGAGCACCACCACACTTCAACCTGGTTGACAGAGCCAGACTCTGTCTCAAAAAAAAAGAGAGAGAGAGAGAAATGGCTGAGAAACGCGCACACACACACATGCATACACACATGCATACATGCACACACATGGGGTAGCCGGGAAGTGCTGTGTACCCTGGAACCTTCCCCCATACTCCCCACCCCCATTGCTGATCTGGGATGAGCTTGGCATGGGCCTTCAGCAGGGCGCCAGGTCTTCTGGGCTGGGAAGGACCCAGGATCAGTCAACTCTCCAGGGGCTACTCCTAGGCCACTGACGAGCACCTCACCACCCTGAACCACACTGATCCCTGTCTCGGGTAGAGAAGAAGGCACAGCCAGTGGGGCCGACCTCCTTCCCTGCAGCTGTGCCTTGGCCAGCACTGGGGTGAGCCACTGTGCTGCAGGAAGGAATCAGGCTGTGCCTCCCCTGGGGGCAGGGATGACAACAAGGGCCAGGGAGGGCAGACCTACATGCAGGACGACCAGCACCGGCGTCTGCACCGCGGGGGAGCCACAGAGGGTCAGCACGAACCGCACGGTGCTCCAGACCCGGAGGCAGATGAAGATGAGTGGGATGAGCACCAGCTTCTTATCGGCCACGGAGGAGTGGCGTGGCAGTCGGTCCTCCCCGGAGAGGATGGGCCGGTACTCAGAGAGTGCCGTGTGCTGTGTGGGGACAGCGAGAGCAGACTTGAGTGTATGGGGACTTTCCCGCCACATCCACCCAGGCTTCCCAAGTCTTCCCAGGGACATGAATTAGCTCAGGGAGGTAAGGGAGATGTGCAGGGGAGCTCGGATCCTTCTCCTGAGCGCTGACTGCCAGGTCCCCTGCCCAGTCCCCATCCCACATGGAGGTCTCAAAGTCGTCTCAAACAGCTCATGTCCAAGAGAGGAGGCAGATCTTGACCCCTGAGGCCAGTGCTCCCTTCCGGGTCTCAGCTCATGGAAACAACAGCTTTCTGGTTGCCCAGGCCAAAGCCTTGGGCCTCTGCTTTGACCCCCTTCTTTGTCCCATAGCCCACATCTGATCTCCAGCAAGTCCCACGGCCTTCTTGTTTTGTTTAAAATAGATATGGGGTCTCACTATGTCGCCCAGGCTGATCTCAAACTCCTGAACTCAAGTAATCTTCCTGCCTCAGCCTCTCGAAGTGCTGGGATTACAGGCATGAGCCGCCACCGTGCCAACCTCCAACTTCAAAACAGGTACTTCTGCCACCTCCTGCCACCCCGCTTCTCTGGATGGGCTCCCTCCTCCGCCCCTGCCACCCCGTCCTACCCCGGACTGTAGTGCATCCTCAACACAGAAGAGGCAGGGATGCTTGAAGGCCCAAGCCTGCTCCAGCGAGTCCTCCTCCCGGAGCTCTTCAGCACTCCCCGTCCACACGCTCCATATGGGCACAGCGGGGCCAACTGTGCAGCCCCAGATACCAGCACCCTCGCCCCAGGGCTCTGCACTGGCTGCTCCTTGCTCTGGAATGCCCATCTCCATCCCTCCCTGGGCTCCCCCTTACCCTCTTCACAACTTTGCTCAAGCGGCACCTTCCAGATGAGCCCGCTGGCCCTATTTAAACTGCACAGAAGCCGGGTGCCAGGCTCATGCCTGGAATCCCAGCACTTTGGGAGGTCAAAGCAGGCAAATTGCTTCAAGCCAGGAGTTTAAGACCAGCCTGGCCAACATGGTGAAACCCCATCTGCACTAAAAATACAAAAATTAGCTGCGCATGGTGGTGCATGCCTGTCATCCCAGCTACTTGGGAGGCTGAAGCAGAAGAATCGCTTGAACCTGGGAGATGGAGATTTTAGTGAGCTGAGATCATGCCAGTGCACTCCAGCCTGGGCAATAGCAAAACTCCAGCTCAAAAATAAATAATATTGAATAAATAAATAAGTAAATGATTGCACAGGCATTTCATAGAGAGTCCCATCCTCACGTTCTACTCTCTTTATTTTAGTTTGATTCCCATAGCTTGTCTCATCCTCAATCCCAGGACGTCATTCACCCCTATTCCTCAGGCTTATTGCTAACCATCACCCTCCCCTCCAGAATGCAAGCCCCTCCCAGCACAGGGAGGGCCTGCTGTGTCCCCAGCCCAGCTGCCCCAGGAAGAGAACGAAAACGAAAACGTGAGGTTGAGCGGGCCTCGGCTTTTCTCCTCCTGGGGAATGTCTTTCATGACAGGAAGGAGGGGATTCCTTCCAGATCAAAGCTGAATTTGTAGAAACAGATGAAACAGCTCATAATAAAGATGTGCTTTTTTGGCCACGAGTGGTGGCTCATGCCTGAAACTGTAGCATTTTGGGAGGTCAAAGCGGGAGGATTGCTTGAGCCCAGGAATTTGAGAGTAACCTGGGTAACAGAGTGAGACACTGTCTCTACAAAAAATTTAAAAATTAGCTGGGCATTGGCTGGGAGCAGTGGCTCATGCCTGTAATCCCAGCACTTTGGGAGGCTGAGGCAGGCAGATCACTTGAGGGCAAGTGTTCAAGACCGGCCTGGGAAACATGGTGAAACCCCATTTCTACTAAAAATACAAAATTAGGCTGAGCGTGATGGCTCATACCTATAATCCCAGCACTTCGGGAAGCCAAGGCAAGTGGATCACTTGAGGCCAGGAATTCAAGACCAGGCTGGCCAAAATGGTGAAACCCATCTGTACTAAAAATACAAAACAATTAGCCAGACGTGGTGGCACACACCTGTGATTCCAGTTACTTGGGAGGCTGAGGCATGAGAATTGCTTGAACCCTAGAGGCAGAGGTTACAGTGAACTGAGGTTTGCCACTACAGTCCAACCTGGGCAACAAAGCAAAACTCTGCCTTAACCAAAACAGAAACAGAATTAGCCAGGTGTGGTGGCACACACCTGTAGTCCCAGCTACTCCAGAGGCTGAGGTGGAAAAACAGCTTGAACCCAGAGGAGGAGGTTGCAGTGAGCCAAAATGGCGCCACTGCACTCTTGAGGCAGGGCAAGAGTGAGACCCTACCTCAAAAACAATAAGACCTTTTTGAGCCACTTGCCTGGGACACTGAAGGCCCAGGTGAGGGGAGGAACCCAGGGTATTGTGCCAGCACCTGGTGTCCTGTGGAGTCACCAGTACACCTCGGCATCTCTGAGCCCCCAAGCTTCTGTAATGCACCTGTCAGAGCCTGCCTCCTCCTCCTCCTCCTCCTATGGCTTTTAGCAGCAGCCCCGGGAGCTGGGCATCCCACTCTGCCCCTCAGAAACCAGTAGGGGAGCGACAGGGTGGGGCAGCTGCAGGAACTGACCACCAGCCTGGCTGCTGTCTGCTCCTGGTGGTGCCTGGCTCTTTCCTAGCTAGAGGTAACTAGCACATTCTCACCTCCCTGCCCACTGCTATCCCATTTTTCTGAAACACTGAGTTGTAAAAAGGGACGCATTATCACCCGTAGGGGTCAGCCTCAGCCCCGCATGCTTCCTGCCCTGTCAAAGGAAGGGCAGAAAGACAGACACAAAGGGCATCTGTAGAGAAGAGTCCTGGGCAGGGCCTGGCGGAGCGCCTGGGAGCCTTCATCAGGGGTCCTGGAAACTTCCCAGGGCGGTGGAAAGGAAGAGGAGGTGAGAAGTGCATACATCACCCGGGCAGGAGGCCAGCGATTAATAAAAGGCCAGAACAAGGCAAAGAGGATTTCATTCGTTCTTTTCTTTGAGACACGGTGTCAACCAGTCTGGAATGCAGTGAACTCCCAGGCTCAAGTGATCCTCCTGCCTCACTACCTCAGCCTCTCAAGCAGCCGGGACTATAGGCATGCACCAGCACACCGGCTAATTTTTTTTTTTTTTTTTTTGAGATGGAGCCTCACTCTATTGCCCAGGCTGGAGTGCAGTGGCACGATCTCAGCTCACTGCAACCTCCGCCTCCTGGGTTCAAGTGATTCTCCTGCCTCAGCCTCCTGAGTAGCTGGGATTACAGGCACCCACCACTGCACCTACTAATTTTTGTATTTTTGTTAGAGATGGGGTTTCACCATATTGGCCAGGCTGGTCTCGAACTCCTCACCTCATGGTCTGTCCGCCTTGGCCTCCCAAAGTGCTGGGATTACAGGTGTCAGCCACCGCATCCAGCCTTAATTTTTATTTTTATTTCTTTTTTTGAGATATAGTCTTTCTCTGTTACCCAGGCTGCAGTGCAGTGGCATGATGTCCACTCACTGCAACCTCCACCAAATTGAGGCGATTCTCCTGCCTCGGCCTTCTGAGTAGCTGGGACTACACATCCGGCTCATTTTTGTATTTGGGGTAGAGATAGGGTTTCACCATGTTGGCCACGCTGGCCTGGAACTCCTGACCTTAAGTGATCCACCTGCCTCTGCCTCCCAAAGTGCTGGGATTACAGGTGTGAGCCACTGCACCCAGCCAATAAGAGGATTTCAGATCAACTGGGAAGTCCCAAAGCCATCTCCAGCAAGGACTCTAGTTGAGGCAGAAGAGGGTGTAGGGCGGGTGAGAACCGGGTAAATTTCCAAGTAAAAAGAAAAGAGAAAACTTGACACGAGAAGACACAATGGGAGTAGAGGGCAGGGATCAGGTGTCCAGATGGCCATCCTGACTCAGAAATGGCTGCTGGGTCGACAGAATGGCCTTATGGGTACACACCCTCCTACAATTTTGGCCCTGAAAACTCAGAGGGCAAAAAGAAACATGGGGACTCACACCAGCGAGCCTGCAGGATGAGGCTGGAAGTCTGAATTTAGAGCATTTCCTCTGGACTGCCCCAGCCACTCCTCACATTGCGTCTTTGCTCATAGTTACTTGCACTTCTGCCTCTCTCTCCAGGAGGGTGGGATCCATGTCTGAGTCTTCAAACCCCCATGCTATACAGCGCTTAGGTGCTAGTAGATGCTCAGTAAAAACATACTAAATGAGGCTGGCCACGGTGGCACACACCTGTAATCCCAGCACTTTGGGAGGCTGAGGAAGGTGGATCACTTGAGGCCAGGAGTTTGAGACCAGCCTGGCCAACATGGTGAAACCCTGCCTCTACTAAAAATAAAAAAATTAGCTGGGCATGGTGGTGTGCACCTATAATCCCAGATACTTGGGAGGCTGAGGCAGGAGCATCATTTGAACCTGGGAGGCAGAGGTTGCAGTGAGCTGAGATCATGCCACTGCACTCCAACCTGGGCAACAGAGTAAGACTATGTCTCAAAAAAATAAAATAGGTTGCTCACACCTGTAATCCCAGCACTTTGGGAGGTGAGGTGGGCGGATCACCTGAGGACAGGAGTTAGAAACGAGCCTGGCCAACATGGTGAAACCCCATCCCTACTAAAAATACAAAAATTAGCTGGGTGTGGTGGCGGGCGTCTGTAATCCCAGCTACTCAGGAGGCTGAGGCAGGAGAATTGCTTGAACCCGGGAGGTGGAGGTTGTAGTGAGCCGAGATGGCGCCACTGCACTCCAGCCTGGGGGACAGAGGGAGGCTTCCTCTCAAATAAATAAATAACAATTTAAAAAAATATTATAAAATAAAAACACATGAAATAAGTGATCGAGTGGATAAACAAATGGGTTAATCTGTGGGTAATCTTTTGAAGATGTTTGCCCGTGGCCAGGAGGAAGCCCCTGGTTCCCAGGCGCAGACTAGGAGGCAAGAGCAAGGAAGAAGTGGGCCAAGGTGTCAGGGGAAAACCATTCTTCCCTAGACTCTCAGGCCCGCCCAGGCTACCGATTTCTGAATTCCGAAAAAGCCTACCATTTAGGAAATGATAAATCACCAGGAAAAGGTAGATGAGTTATTTGCATCATTGATCGTAAAATTTCAGTCCTCCCTTCCCTGGGTAGTCTGGTCTCAGGTCCTTCCTCGATTGCCTTTTAGCTAAATTCAAGTTTAAGCAGCCACCACAGGCTGTCCACCAGGGGGCAGGAGAGGGCCGCTACTGAGGGCACAGCAGCCTGTCTGCAGGAGCCCTGTGCCCCCACAGGCCCTTACTGGGCTAAGCCTCCGTTTCCTTATTTACAAAGGGGTAACAGGACCCGACTCCTCATGGGGCAGTGGAAACCGATGCACCATCCGTGTAATACAGCGTGTTGCATGATGCCTGGTACATATAGTAAGTGCCTGGTCCCCTCTGGCCCGTCACTGGTTCTGTCCCCAGAGAGGCAGCCTGTCCCCTGGGGTGGCCCAACTCAACAACAGGCCCTGCACCTGGGCACAGCAGCCATGCAGAGGGCCCTGAGCTCTTCGGGCAGCACCTACCGCTCTGTTGATGTGCTTCCGGACCAGGACATAAAGCAGGGGCAGCAGGACATATGCCAGCATCTCCCACAGCTTCCCCGTCAGCAGCATCCACAGGAGGTGGTCCTCGGCCTCCAGGTCGATCCAGCACCAGCCCACAGACACATCCGAGGCATCATAGCCGATCTTCTTCAGGGCAACAGCTGCCACGGTGATGACCAGCGGGACTCCCCAGCTGAGGAAGGATGAGAGAAAGAGGCACCGGGGTCAGACCACGGCTCCCGGCAATGTCAGCCCTCACAAAAGACAAATGACACCCTTCAGAAAGGGGACACACTTCAGAAAGTGCTCTTCGGAGCCTGGATGGCAGTGTCCCTGGAAAATAAGAAGCAGTAGGTGTCGCCCCAAGAGCCTGGCTCTAATTTAGAATTCCATGGTTCTTCGGGAACTGGCACTAGAATGGAGTGAGCTCTACAATGGAGCCAGCTCCCAGTGTGTGCCCAGCTCCTTCTGCACCAGCCTTGGGCACCGGCATGTGAACATCTGTCCATGATCATGCAAATGTGCCACAAACGATCAGTGCCCCCCCGCCAGCCCTTGGGTCTAGGGGTGCACACATTGGGGGCTTAGGGTTGCCTGGGAGGAGAGTTCCAGGGTCCTGCTTAACTTCTATGGGCTCCAGAAGGGCGAACGTAGGCTTTGCACAGCGTGTCCCCTCAGCCCTGAGGACTTCTTGTGCAAAGGGTGGGGAATGGAACCTGGCAAGCATCAAAGGGGACCTTTGAAAGCATAAAGCTCAGGTAGCGGCCGCTCCGAGGGCAATGTTGGGCTGTTTTTCCTTTTTTTGAGATGGAGTCTCACTTTGCCACCCAGGCTGGAGTGCAATAGCGCAATCTCAGCTCACTGCAACCTCCACCTCCTAGAGGTTCAAGTGATTCTCCTGCCTCAGCCTCCCAGGGTGCTGGGATTACAGGCCTGAGCCACTGTGCCTGGCCTAATTTTTGTATTTTTAGTAGAGACGGGGTTTCATCATGTTGGCCAGGCTGGTCTCGAACTCCTGACCTCAAGTGATCCACCCACCTCAACCTCCCAAAGTGCTGGGATTACAGGCATGAGCCACCACACCCAGCCGGGGCTGTTTTCTAGAACACTCTCCCAGCCACACAGCCAGGAGTAGGCCCCTTCCCTGTGGTCCCGGAACCAGTCTGTTCCTTCCACAGCAGTGGGGCACACAAAGGCTACGGTGGCTCCTGAGAGAGGCCGCCAGTGGGGAGGTAAGAGCTTGGATTATAGTGTGTGGACTGGACTGGAGTCCCAGCTCTGCCCCTGCAAGTTATTTAGCTTCAATACGCCAGGTTCTCTGCAAAGCATGGATGATGACAGTGACTGCAGGGTGTCATTGTAGGGTCATTATGAGAATAAACAAATACATGTGTGTACCGGGTGCAAGGCCAGGCAGGCGTGTGAGTGTTCGCTGCCGTCAGGACTGTTGAGTCGCGTCCTGCTGTCCCAGGGTTCAGGCCTGTGGTGCAGACACTGGGGCTGCGTGGGGCCCATGTGGTTTCTGTCCCCAGGAAGAAGACACAAGTATCCCTGTCCTAGGTCACTTGCCTGGAGGGCAAAGCCTTAGGTAAACAGGAATGATATCAGCGGAGCTATCAGGAAACTGGTTCGGAAATTGATTATCTGCTGCGAGCTCTGTATCAGGGGTCCTGGCTCTTTCCAAAGGGAAGTCAGAGACCAACCATGAGATCAAAGTTCAATGTGAATCTGAGGCCAGGAGAACTGTGCTTCAAGGGGTTCTCCCAAATGCTGCAGGGCTGGCAGAGGAGGCCGGGCAGGGATGAGGCTGGGAGGGGAAACTCAGCTCCCCAGGACCGGGAAGGCCTCATGCTGGATGCTTCCAGAACAGAGGGCCCTGGCCGACCATCCCCTTTGCAGCGTTCTCCAGTCCCCACTGGCCTCTTTAGGGAGGGGCAGGAGTGCTGACGGCAGGGTCACGTCACGCTCAGTGGCCTCAATGGCAGGAGGTGGTGTGTCCTGTTTGAAGTCACAAAGACACAAAAAGACCATAAAAGCCCGGCCGAGGTGGCCCACACCTGTAATCTCAGCACTTTGGGAGGCCAAGGCAGGCAGATCACTTGAGGTCAGGAGTTTGAGACCAGCCTGGCCAACATGGTGAAACTCCATCTCTACTGAAAATATAAAAATTAGCCAGGTGTGGTGGCGCGTGCCTATAATTCCAGCTACTCAGCAGCCTGAGGCAAGAGAATTGCCTGAACCTCGGAGGCAGAGGTTGCATGAGTCGAGATCATGTCATTGCACTCCAGCCTGGGTGACAGAGCGAGACACTGTCTCAAAACACCCACAAAAGTTAAGAAAGGGTTGTTTTAAAACTCATGACGGCCTGGGTGAGGTGGCTCATGCCTGAATCCCAGCACTTTGGGAAGCCGAGATGGGTGGATCACCTGAGGTCAGAAGTTTGAGACCAACCTGACCAACATGGTAAAACTCCATCTCTACTAAAAATACAAAAATTAGCTGTGCATGGTGGCACATCCCTGTAATCCCAGCTACTCAGGAGGCTGAGGCAGGACAATCCCTTGAACATGAGAGGCAGAGGTTGCAGTGAGCCGAGATTACACCACTGCACTCCAGCCTGGATGACAAAGTGAGACTCTGTCTCAAAAAAAGGAGGTAAGCGGCTTTTAAAGTGCCATGATGCCAAAGATGCAGTCATAATGTGCTGTTTCTTGTTACTTTACAGTTGCAGGATTCTGCTAAGGAATTCTGGGAAAGGGGAGAGCACTGTCTGTAGGAACAGTCTCCCCGGAGGACGGTGGTCTGGAGCTGGGGCGCACTCACATTGGGGATTCCCCTCTGAGTTGGGCCTGGGAGGTCACGGTCTGCACAGCACTCCATTAGGCTCCCTCTGCATCCCAACAGCCTTACAGGAAACCGGGGGACCACACAGACCAGCAGTCTGTAACTGGAGGCTTGCAGTACTAAAGCTACACAGCAGATTTCCTCTGTGACACTGAATCTGTGCTGGGAAATAACCAAAGGAAAGGTCAAACAGATTTTGAAAGGGTTAAGAATGTGGGTTTAAATTAGCCAGGTGTGGGAGTGCACACCTTTAATCCCAGCTACTCAGGAGGCGGAGGGAGGAGAATCATTTGAACCTGGGAGGTGGAGGTTGCAGTGAGCCCAGATTGTGCCAGTGCACTCCAGCCTGAGTGACAGAGTGAGGCCTGTCTCAAAGCAAAGGGCTGGGGCGCAGTGGCTCAAGCCTGTAATCCCAGCACTTTGGGAGGCTGAGGCGGGTGGATCACAAGGTCAAGAGATCGAGACCATCCTGGTCAACATGGTGAAACCCCGTCTCTACTAAAAATACAAAAATTAGCTGGGTGTGGTGGTGCGTGCCTGTAATCCCAGCTACTCAGGAGGCTGAGGCAGTAGAATTGCCTGAACCCAGGAGGTGGAGGTTGCGGTGAGCCGAGATCCAGCCTGGGTAACAAGAGCGAAACTCCATCTCAAAAAAAAAAAAAAGTGGGCCTGATCAACAGGGAGAGGTTGTTTGAACACACAGAAGGAGCAGCTGTGTGAGGGCCAGAAGCTGCCAGGGAGATATTTAAGTGAGAGGAAGTAAGAGGTAGAATCAGGGAGCCGGTGGGAGTGGAGAGGGTCTGATGATCCTGCAAAGCAGGCTGGGACAGTTTCACTCACTTACAGGCACGGACATACACATGCATACACACACACATATAAATGTATAAATTTCACCCGCAGGATGTGAAGTGCACGTTATAAATAATAATAAAGTACACAATAATAATACTCCCTCTTTATTGTCCATTCCGTACTGCCAATTGATTGTCACAGAATGCTTTTGTTGATTTCAGCCCAACCCTGGATTTTGGCAACCTGTGGATGCAATCAGTGAATGACAGCCTCTCTATGGCATGAAGTTAATTGATGCTTTCATTTCCCTTAACAAGATGGAAATGAAATAAGGAAGAAATAGAAAACAAGACATATGTTGGTTGGTCGTGTCACAAGTTGCTGGTGACATGAGCAACTTCTTTGCTGAATCAGGTACGAGTTTTTCCCCCCAACACTGGGAGGGTGTTTCCTCAATTTTTTTCTGTTCCATGACACTGTCTCTTCTCCTTACCTCTTCTTTACATACTGGGTTTTTCTGGCTGCCCCAACACAGCTGCCATCTCTGCTGAAGCTCAGAGGTAAGTAACACTTAAGTTTAATCTATACCTTTAGTGTCTTCTCCATTACTTTCTTTTTTTTTTTTTTTGAGAGGGAGTTTCACTCTTGTTACCCAGGCTGGAGTGCAATGGTACAATCTCAGCTCACCGCAACCTCCGCCTCCTGGGTACAGGCAATTCTCCTGCCTCAGCCTCCTGAGTAGCTGAGATTACAGGCGCGCGCCACCATGCCCAGATAATTTTTTGTATTTTTAGTAGAGACGGGGTTTCACCATGTTGACCAGGATGGTCTCGATTTCTTGACCTCTTGATCCACCTGCCTCGGCGTCCCAAAGTGCTGGGATTACAGTCCATTACTTTCTTAAGTCTATATCAGGGTCCAGCAAACTATGGCTCTCAGACCAAATCTGGCTCACAGTTTCTTATAGATAAAGTTTTATTGCAACACAGCCAGACCCAGTCATTTACAGATTGTCTACTGCTGCTTTCAGGCAGAGTTGAGCAGTTACATACAACTGAGACTGCGTGGCCCACAAAACTGAAAACACTTACTTTAACAGGAAAACTTTGCTGACCTCGGCTCTACACAATCAATGAAGCAATAGAGTATTTTGCTTTATTTGTAGTCTTTGCCAACTTCCATCTACAAATTCTTCCACCACGGCCCATTCCAGCCACCAACACATGTAGCTGGGAACAGATGCACAGTAGCACACCATTATATAGTATTTCCACCACACAGATGCAACAACCTCACATGTGCAAAACAGCTACTCCACAACGAGCTTTGAGTATTTATGGTTTTTTTTTAAGTTTTTAAATTTTATTATTTTAGAGACAAGGTCTTGCTCTGTTGCCCAGACTGGAGTGCAGTGGTACACTCATGGCTCACTGAAGCCTCCAAATCATGGACTCAAGCAATCCTCTCACCTCAACCTCCAGAGTAGGGGGTACTACAGACACATGCTACCATGTCCGGCTTATTTTTTACTTTTTGTAGAGACAAGATCTTGCT